GCCTGGAGACCATTTTCCTAAGGGGATTATCACAAGACTGGAAAAACAAGTATCACATGTACTCACTATTAAATTGGAGCTAACCAAACAGCACTCTCTGTTCACAATAGAAGTAAAACTCAACAGAAATCAAACAGGTGGAGGATAATGGGTAAAACCATACCTAACGGGTACAATGTACACTATCTGGGTGATGGGCACACTTATAACTTTATCTGAAGTAGTACAAAAGCAATCCATGTAACCAAAACATTTGCACCCTGTAATATTCTGAAACTTAAAAAAAAAAAAATCCTTCATACATTGAATGGCTTTTGAAACTTTGCCAAAAATCAGTTGGCTTCACTTGTGTGGGGCTAATTTGTTAGATTTTCACCTAAGTATTCATTTCTTGAGAGATTGTAAATTGTATTATATTTTTAATGTTGCTTTCAAAATGCTCATTGCTTGTATATAGAAATGCAATTGATTTTTTGTATGTTAGTTTTATATCCTGCAACCTTACTGTAATTGTTTATTATTTTTAGGGTTTTTTAATAGATTCCTTGGAATTTTCTAATTTAAACTATCATACCAATTGCACAGAGGAACAGTTTTTTTCCTTCCTTTCCATTTGAATGCCTTTATTTTGTTTCCTTGTTGTCTTGTACTAGGTAGAACTCAGTACTATGTTGAATAGCAGTGATGAGAGTGGACCTTCTTGCCTTGTTTGCAGTCTTAATGAGAAAGCATTTACTTTTTGATCCTTAAATATGATGTTAGCTATACCTGTTTTATAAATGTTCTTTTTTACAATGTTGAGGAAATTCCATTCTATTCCTAATTTGAAGAGTTTTTAAATCATGAAAAGGTGTTGAAATTTGTCCAGTGCTTTTTTTGTATAAATTGATATAATAAAGTGACTTTTCTGCCAATCTGTGTCTTTTAATTAGTATATTTAGACCATTTACATTTGCTATAATTATAGATAGGTTAGGGCTGTCTATAAAAGGCTACAACTTTCTTTTATTGTTGTTTTCTCTGTTTTTCACTTCTTTGTTTTCTTTTACCTCCCTTCCTATGAGTTAGTTGGCCATGATTTGTAATTCTTTGTATACATTATTTGATAGATTTGCTAATACTTTGTTAAGGATTTGTATCTATGTTGATTGGAGATACTAGTCAACAATTTCCTTTCTTTCAATGTCTTTATATTATTTAGTGATTATGCTAATGCTAGCCTCAAAGAATAAGTTAGGAAGTATTTCCTCTGCTTCTATTTTCTAGAAGAGATTGTAAATAATTTGTATTATTTTTTCCTTAAAATTTGGTAGAAATCTCCAGTAAAACAATCTGGGCTTGATTCTTTCTTTTTTTGGAACATTAGTAATTATTGATTCAATTTCTTTGACAAATATAGGGCTATCAAGATTGCCTATTTTTCCTTATATGTTTTTCATTTGTGTCTTTCAAGGAATTGGTACATTTTATCAAAATTGTCAAATTTATACTCATAGAGATCCTTTATTACCCTTTCAGTGTCCATGGATCAATAATTATGGACCCTTTTCATTTCTAATTATAATTTGTGTCATCTTTCCTTTTCTCTATATTAGTTTAGGAAGTTTCCCATTTTTACTCATCTTCTCAAAAAAACATTTTTTGGTTTGCTGATTTTTGATATTGTTAGTAAAGCCTCTGTTTTCTCTCCTCTAAAGTGAAGATAAGCCTCATAGAATTTTTTTATTTTTTTTATTTCAGCATATTATAGAGGTACAAATGTTTAGGTTACATATGTTGCCCTTGCCCCCACTTCCCCTGCCCCCAGTCAGAGCTTCAAGCATGTAACTAAATAAGAATATGTAAGAAAAATAATTTGTTAACTTCTAAAATACAATTTTTATGCTACTGTTTTTATCATTCTAGGTAGATAAATATCAATATGCCCAAACAAATGTGTCCTACTTTCAGGAAAACCACTCAAAGATATATAATTGACAGTTAAAAAACAAAACAAAAATATTCACTTGACAACACTTGTCTAAATAACCACTGCCTTGTGTACTTATTAAAGAATTTCTTTCTCAAAAACTTTTGAGAAAAAACAAAGAATGCTAGAAGTTGACTAAATATAAGCAATTGACAGTCAATACTTAATTCTAAATACATATATTGAGTCCTTGGTGAATTCCATGAAATGTTCCAAACCCAGATGACCCTACAGTAAACAATGAAAACCAAAGTCCTTTTCCTTCTTCAGAGCTCTTAGTCTCCAGGAGAGACAAAAGACAAACAGATAAATGAACAAGAAAAAAACATAATAGTTAATCTCATGGAGAGATTAAAATATATGGATGTTAGAACATTACTAAGCTGGTGCTTTAGATTGGAGACAGGACATTCTCTTAAGATATAACATTTGTGATTAATTAAAATGATAAGAAGAATCCAAGCAGCTTTGGGCAGAAAGAAATACTTTTGTAGAAATGAACTTAATATCTTACTCTGGGTCCTTCTAGAAGCACATCCTAAGTAAATAATTAAGTACAAGTACTTTACATTGAAGTTGATCTCAAGATCATAGGAAATAGGGACATGATACAGTGAAGGTTTTATTATTGTCGATAAGGCTTTATTGTCAATAAAGGCTTTATTATTCAGCAAGTTATTTCAGTGGGCAACGGCAACTTAATTCCGCTGTGTAACTCCGGGAGGTGGTGTAGAGCATACGCCCATCCCATCTGAAGCATGAGAAAAACTAAGAATATTTATATACCCATTCTGTCAGTTCTTGATTGAGGGTGGTTTCTAAGAGGTTTTAATTTCCTAGAACCTCTATACTGCCCTGTTGGCAAACGCAGCAGCCACCAATGGACAGAGAAAAATTTCAGACAGCAAAGTGCACATGCTGGTTATGAGTCCATCTGGGATGTATGTAAATGGTAAGTGGCGGGGAATATGGGTGGAATATTGACAGCATCCGCTAAGATGTGTTTGAACTTGCTCCACAGTAAACAAAGAGTAGACTGGTAGAGATGAACTCTTAGATTAAAGCAGGGGTAAAATGCTAAAGAGCCAGAGACCATGATAGGGAGTCTTTTAAGTGCAGTGATGAGCTTCTGGGTGGTTTTAAGCAGGAAAATGGCTTAATTGATTTACATTTTTTAAAGATCACCTTGGTTGCTATGTGCAGAACAACATGTAATGGGGAGAACAAGGGCAGGGGTATGAGTTAGGAGGCTATTATATCAATGCCAGTAACACAAACCTGAGCTTGATAATTTATTATACGGAATATTAATTCTTAATTCCCCATCTCCTACCCCTATACACACAGGTAACACACTTAGAAACTAGCTTGAAGTCTAACCAATGTCTTCTAACAGTTGTTTTGTGATTTATTGGAAAATCCCAGCAACAACTGTGATTCTGATCCTTTCTCTCCCACACAAGAAAGGATAAGGAGGTGTGTGAGTGAAAGTATCCTATCATGGAGAAAATCCATAATCTGCTTTATTTTATTGCGAAGTCTTTAGTCATCAGTCAAATATGATACACTTTACAACTGATTCAGATAAGCCAATGTTCCTCAACACTATGGTTAATTAATGGGGAAAAAAAATGATGCATCATGTTCTCTAAGCATCCAATGAGGCACAGGTATATGATTTTTCATATCTAAGGAAAGCACCAAATATGCATGTTTCTAATGAGGCGACATAGTTGCAGTCAATAGAAATTCTTATTCTACCTGACTAGTAGAAAGATTTTGATTAATCGGTATTCAAAGAAAATTTAAAAAAAATATTTATCAAGAGATAATTGACTTATAAATATTAAAATAAATAAAAATGGTTATGTTAGCCAAATGATGTCTAGAGTAGAAGGATGATGGTATTATTCTACAAGTATTTGAAGACTCTAAAAACTTAGCAATGACATATATATTATTTTCAATGAAAAATTTAGTAGGTACAAATTGAAATACAGCCAAAAATAATAATATTTCTTATATACCTGAAACAAATATCTAAAAGTGTTCTCATAAAATCATAGCACATCAGAACATAAGGAAACTTTGAGTTCAACTCTACCAAATTTATTTTTTTAAGAAAGGATACAAATTCCCAGAAAGAATAAATAAGAGTCAGAGGGATTAAGTTGCATAGAGAACATATCTTTTAGAAATTATTTAAAATTTGATCAAAGTTATTTTAGCCACTTTATTTCTGTTGAATTGCTGATAAAAAGTTTCCCAAGTGTTTTATGGTATCCATTAGCAAAAAAAGGTTCTTGTAATGACATTTCTTTGAAGAAATATCATGGATGAGCAATAGAGTACTTACGTTGGTATCTACAACTCCCAGTCTCTTTTACAGAAAATATATCTTGTTAACTTTTGCATTCAGCATCAGATAATTGGCATAAAGGTCACCAAAACTCCCAGTAAGACATTATCTAGTAGCTTCCTGCAATTTTGTAAAAAAAAAAAAAAAAAGCCAAGTGAATCAGAGGAGGCAGGGAAAATCCAGTTGCCTTATTAAATGGCAAGATAAATGTCTCATTTTGCTTTGCCTATAATTCTGCTGTTGCCAGATAGGATGTTGATTACAAGCAGACTATTGGCACCAGATTTTTTGGTAATTTTATCTGATAGCTCTAGAAACAAGCCTCAACAACCTCTTTCTCCCAATGTTGTCCTTCTTTCTACATACCTACAAGAGTAATAAACTGTCCCAGGCACTTTGCTAAGAACTGATGATCTTCTAAAGAGTGCATGACACAGTACCAGTTATGTCCTGTAGTATCCAAAATGATTTTCATATTTATCCCTATCTATAAAACAACCTTTCCACAAATTAAGCCTATACCTCCAATTCACGCTTATTACATACAAATACCAACATTTGCTAGTATATTAATAAAATACATGTATTACTAATAAAACACAAGAATAGACATTTTAGAAATTAGATAAAAATAAGTACCAATAGAAATTCAATATTTTCTCACTGCATCCCACTGGAGAATCTTACAATCCCCTGGAGGGCAGGCTCTTCTCCTTGGTACCTGCTGTTGGAAAGAGGTTAGATGCATTGATTCTTCAATTAGATTGCAAGTTTCTTGGGGTCGTGAAGCCTCATTTTATCTTGATCGTCTCTGCATCTCCTTGAAATATCAGGCCCAGATACTTGCACTTCATGAACACTCAGTTTCATTAATAAGAGATTTTAAGTATGTACTTACTTGCATCAAGAGATAAGAGGATGGATTGTGGAGAAAAGATCTTAAACACTTCAAGAGATAGGTTGGGCCTAGCCTCTTACACAGAAGACATAAAGTTAGAAGTCTAAGGCCAGGCTAATGAATGGTTCTACTTTCAGAACTCTGTAGGTCTGTGTTCCTTTTCTATGACTACACTTTGTTCTACCCATAAAAGTTCCAACAAAGTACCTTCAAAATTTGCATTATCTTCAAAATCCAGGGAATAATATTTTAGAAAACACCATTTGTCAGCCCAGCAGATAAGGACTGCCATTAAATCTGCCGAATTATTTTTATTCTCTTGCTCTCTCAAAAAGCAGAGAATGAATTAGATAGTAAAGACACTAAAAATTGACAATAATTCATAAGGCCCTTATTCACCAGGAAAAATTTTGTATTTATAGACTATTTTAGTCATATAAATAATTTCTCTTTTTATTAAGATAGGCATTTATTTTAGTCATCTGTGACAACTATGAGATGTCTGCCTCATCATTCCATTAAAATAGGCTTCTTTGTTCAGTCCTAGAGGCAACAAAGCAAGACAGACGTATTTAAATGAATTAAAAATTAAAACCAAAATTAAAAATAAAAAGCCCAAACTTAATGTGCATTGCTCCTGTACTAGGCAATTCATTCATACATACATGGACTCATATATTTGGAGTACTTCCTATGTGTCACCTTTGGACTATTTCCTAATTAACCATTAACCTTTGAGCATAAGAATCCACACAATCTAGCTCTAATAGAAACAATTAACCCAAATGAGATAACAGAATGCATATAGTGAGGTCAACCTCCACTATGATCTTCTCTCTTTATGTGCCAGATATTTTCATTTTTATCTTTGACCACAGAGGAAACTTTGCAGGTATGTATGCTCTTCAGTACTATCCCTTGGTCAAGAACATATTGGATAACTGGAGAAAGAGAGGATTAAGAAAGTAAATTTGAAGGACATGTCCAACTGTGAAATGCTTGTGATTGTGGATGACTTTGTTCTTTGCTTCTGGTGTTTTTCAGTTTCCTATATTGCATATATTAACTTAAAAAAAATAAAGATTATTTTAAGGTAAAAAAAAAAAAAGAAAGTAAATTTGAGAAGGTCATGACCTTTCATCTGCAAATGGAGCTCCTTGGAGAATTTCCCCTTCAGGATCAGTTGGCAGGAGAAGGGCCCTCTAAGTAATACCTCCCTTCTCTCTTCATTTATTTTCTTCATATCCCAGCAATTCTCTCTTATTCCATGAGGGTAATTTCTTTGAAAACTTCTTAGAAAACTTTAGGAGCAAATAGTGTATTTGCACTGTAATTTATTAATTAAAAATATATTGAATGCATAGCAAGTGTCATTCCATGAACTGTGCTAAGACCTGACCATATGCTGCTTTGCTATATATGTATCTACTTACATGGAGAAGAAACACATCATTGAAATTCAAGGATGAAGAATGGCATTTATTATGTATCTAGTTAAAAGATACTTTTCTTATTTTGTAAACTCAAAAGTATTCAAATCAAAAGTAAAAAACATAAAAGAATCTTTATACAGAAAAAAAAAAAAACCTCCTGAAACTAATAAATTATAGCAAGGCTGTAGGATATAAGGTCTATTAATTTGCTAGTGGTTCTGTAACAAAATACCGCAGACTGCATTTCTTAAACAGTAGAAATTTATTTTTCTCGTAGTTCTGGGAGCTATAAGTCTAAGATCAGGGCATCAGTAGCATTGATTTTTTTTTTTTCTAAGGCCTCTCTTTTTGGCTTGCATCTGGCTTCCTTCTCACTGTGTTCTCACGTGGCCTTTCCTTTGTGCACACACATCCCTGCTGATACGGTTTGGTTGTATGACCCCTCCAAATCTCCTGTTAAAAGCTGATCCGCATTGTTGGAGGTGGGACCTAGAGGAAGGTGTTTGGTTCATGGGGCTAGATCCCTCATGGATGGCTTGGTGCTCTCCCCATAATAACGAGTGAGTTTTTGCTATATTAGTTCACATGAGAGCTGGTTGTTTAAAAGAGCCTGGCGCCTCCTCCTCCCTCTCTCGCTCCCTTTCTCACCATATAACACACCTGCTCTGCCTTCACCTTCCGCTTCCATTGGAAGTTCCCTGAAGCCCTCACCAGAAGCAGATGCTGACAACATGCTTGTACAGTCTGCAGAAATGTGAGCCAAGTAAGAATCTTTTCTTTATAAATAACCCAGTCTCGGGTATTCCTTTATAGCAACGTAAAACAGACTAACACAGAAGGTTGGTACTGAGAGTGGGGCATTGCTATAACGTTGCCTGAAAAGGTGGATGCAGCTTTGAAACTGGGTAACAGGCAAATTTTGGAGGGCTCAGAAGACATAAATATGAGGGAAAGTTTGAAACTTCTTAGAGACTTGTTAAAAATGGCTGTGACCAAAATGTTCATAGAAATATGACAGTGAAGGTGGGGCTGACAAGGTCTCAGCTGGACATGAGGACTTTATTGGGAACTGGAGCAAAGGTCACCTTTGTTACACATAGCAAAGAACATTGGCTGCATTGTATTCATGTCCTAGGTCTTTGTGGAAGGCCAAAATTAAGAGTGATGGCTGAGAATATCTGGTAGAAGAAATCTCTAAGCAGCAAAGCATTCAAAAGATGGCATGGCTGCTGCTAACAGCCCATGGTCAGATACAGATTAAAGGAGTGTTGGAACTTAAAGTTTCATGTTGGAACTTACAATTAAAAGAGAAGCAAAGCATAAAAATTTAGAAAATTTGCAGCTTGGCCAACTGGTAGAGAAGGAGAGAGCATGGAGGAATCCAAGTGGGCTGTGGAGCAACCACTTGCTAGAAAGCTTAGCATGACTAAAAGGGAGTCAGGTGCTCATATTCAAGACAATGGGAAAAAGAAATTTTTCAAGCTATGCCTCCCATCACAGGCCCAGAGTCACAGGAGGACAGAATGTTTTCAGAAGCCAGGCCTGGGGCTCCACTGCCCTGCGCCACCTTGGAATACTGTTCCCTGCATTCCAGCTGCTCCAGCTCTAGGTGCTTAGGGCTCAAAAGGCCCTAAGTACAGCTTGGCCAGCTGCTACAGAGGGCACAGGACATAAGTCTTGGTGGTGCCCACATGGTGTTAAGTTTGCAGGTAGGCAGAATGCAATAGTTGTGGAGGCTTGACAGCTAACACATAGATTATCAGAAAGCCTGCATTTCCAAGCAGAAGTCTGCCACAGGGTGGAGCCCCCACAGAGAGCTTCTACTAGGGCAGTGCCAGGAGGAAATGTGGAGTTGGAGCCCCCATGCAGAACCCCCACCAGAGCACTGCCTAGTGGAGTTATGGCAAAGGGATCACCAGCCTCCAGATCCCAGAATGCTGGAACCGCCAGAGTGGTTCACACTTAGCCTAGAAAAGCTGCAGGCACCAGATTTCAACTCATGAGAGCAGGCACACAGGCTATACTCAGGAAAGCCATGGGGATAGCACTGCCCAAGAATTCAGGGCCCAACCCTGACACCAGGATGTGGGATATGGAGTTAAGGGAGATCATTGTGGAGCTTTAAGATTTAATATCCGCCTTACTGGGTTTAAGACTTGCCTGGGGCCTGTTGCCAGTTCCTTTTGTCCAATTTCTCCCTTTCGAAGTAGAAATGTTTACCCAACGCCTGTATCACCATTGTATCTTAGAAGCGAATAGCTTGTTTTTGATTTTACAGGTTCACAGCTGTAAGGAATTTGTCTTGAGTCTCAGATGAGACTTTGGCCTTTGGACTTCTGAGTGGTGCCTGGAAGGAAACTTTTGGGGACTATTGGAAAACAATGTGAGAAGGACATGATATTTTGGGGGCCAGGAGCAAAATAATGTTGTTTGGATATATGGCCCCTCCAAATCTCATGTTGAAATTGGAGCCCCAGTGTTAGAGACAGGGCCTGGTGGGAAGTGTTTGGGCCATGGGGATAGATGCCTTATTAATGGGTTGGTGCTCTCCCTGCAATAATGAATGAGCTCTCACTCTATTAGTTCACATGAAAGCTGATTGTTTAAAAGAATCTGGCACCTCCTCCTCCCCTTCTTGCTCATTCTCTTGACATGTGACACACCTATTCCCCTTCACCTTCCACCTTGATTGGAAGCTCCCTGGAACCACCAGAAGCAGATGTTGGTTCCATGCTTCTTTTACAGTCAGCAGACTATAAGTCAAATAAACCTCTTTTCTTCATAAATTGCCCAGTCTATTGCCCAGGTATTCCTTTATAGTAATGCAAAATGGACTAACACACCTCATGTCTTTCAATGTGTACAAATATCCTTTGCTTATAAGGATACCGGTCATATTAGATTAGAGCCCACCCTAATAGCCTTTTATAATCACCCCTTTAAAGGCCCTATCTCCAAGTAGTGTCATGTTATGAGGTTTTGAGGGGTTAGAGTTTCGGTATATAAATGGGAGGAGGGTCACAGTTTGTCCCTAACACAAGGTTGTTATACAAGTGTCAATTGTTTTCCCACATTCCAGCAATGAACAATTAGAACTTGAATTTGAAACCTAATACCATTTACATTTGCACCAAAAAAAGGAATAGTTATAAATCTACCAAAAAAACTAAAAGATCTATATGAGAAAAACTACAAAACTGTGGTGACAGAAATCAAAGAACTAAATAATGAAGAGATTTTCCATGTTCACGTATATAAAGACTCAATATTGTCAAGATGTTAGTCCTTCCCTGGTCGACATATACATTGCACACAATCTCAATTAAAAGAAAAATTAGTATGTATTTTGTGGATATGGACAAACTAATTCTAAAGTTTACATGGAGAGGCAAAAAACGCAGAATAGCTGTTATAAACCGAATTGTGTTCCCCCCAAATTTATATGTTGAAGTCATAGCCCCCAGTACCTTGGAATGTTACTATATTTGGAGATAGGGCCTATAAAGAGGTAATTAAGTTAAAATAAGGTCTTAGAGTGGGCCCTAATTCAATGTGTCCTTATAAAAAAAAAAAAAGAAGAAGAAGAAGAGTAAGACATACATGGAGTTACCAGTAATGTGTATGCACAAGTAAAAGACCATGTGAAGAGGCAACAAGAGGAAGGTCATCTACAAG